GTCTTTTCACAGTGTTGATGAAGGTGAGTGTCTGATCTAGGACCATGGAGTGTTGCCGTTGGTCAAGAAGATACAAGCCCCTAGTAATCTGGCATTCAAGCTGCTTTGGAGTGCAAACGAGCGGCAAATTTACCCTGGGGCTCTGCGTTAACTCCCCTAGCAGCTGTTTTCAAAACCTAGGGATGCAATTTGGATAGTCCAGGCAGCCCTGGAAGAAAATTCTAAATTGGTTATCAACAATATTTGTTCTGGGTTATGGAAGACACTGTTACCCACCCATCCTGTCACAAACAGTTTAATCTAAATGAAGCCCTAGTCGGGAAGGAGTAAGAATGTCAGCAGCTGACCTGTTTTCAGTGTTGCTGGTGATGCCATGTTGCGAGGACTTTGCAAGTCATTCCACTCACGACTGTCCTTGACCAAAAAGAGATTGTGAGCATTGGTTTGAGCATCCCAATGTAATGGTTAACAAATGTTGGTTGAATAAACTAGGCCAGACCATGGCCAGACCGAAATCAAGATCCCAACCACATCCCAAGAAATCTCCGCAGGCCAAGGTAAATGTCCGCAGCCACACATGTTCATGTATTTAACACTTCCCATCTCCAGTTGTAGACAAATTAGATTATCCTGCCAGCTACTAATGTTAAATATAGTCCGTTGAGTCCCCCAGGGCTTCACATTAGAAATTTATGCAATTTGAAATCACTGTACCTGAAAATGGAACATAATATTTGTTACCATGAAATGTAATTAATGTTTCATATAGCAGGCAAACTTAATTTAGCAGTAACTTAATACTGTTTCTGCTTATACTTCTACATTTTCAGATGTTCCTCTTAACTGTTCTCATCAATCTGTTCCCACTCAAGGGGCGTGACCTCACTTGACCTCTAATGGGGTCAAGCAGACAGCAAGGACCCATGAACAGACAGGGCATGTTGATTTATGCAGCAAGCCAAAACTCCCACTCTGGTTTGTTACATCTCTGGGAGTATCTGCCCAAGTTAAAGGGAATGTACATCATTGGCTTTTGCTGTAATTTTCAGAAATGGATGGAATTGGGGGGTTGGAAATATAAAGCAAATATAGTTACACTGACTTTTTGGAGGTTTTGGGTTCGAAAATGCTATAAAAACCAAGAAAAACGATCATTTTCCTGTAGTCTGGTCCCCTGACTCCATATAAGAAGAAACAGAGCAGTTTACATACATTGGGGAATTGTAAGGTCAGGGAACCAGTCTAGCTGGCTCGTACCCGTTCATAGGTTTGTAATCGATTGCAAACAAGTGCAATTGTCAATTGGGGCCAGTATTTGAAAAAAAAGCCAGTTGTTTCCAACGCTGATCGGCCGATCAGCGTTGGAAATTGATACAAAAATACCACTTTTCTTGAAAATGACAGTATACCAGGTGCCATAATTTTACAGGATGCTTTAGACTGTCATTTACCAACATCCTATTAAGGTATTTCGCAAAAACTTGGTAGTTTTATTTTTCGATGTTTGCAAATGTTGTATATTCCCTTTAATGCAATTTTAAAAATACTCTTGGATTTTTTTCAGGACAAATTCAAGAGATCTTGTGGGTTGACAAGATGGAGATCCAAGAAAAGTTTTGAACAAACAGCAAAGATCAAGTTTCTGAAATGAATGGAAAATAAGGCAAAGAGGCTAATAATAGAACAAGATACTGGTACCACTACCAGAAACAACACTCTGACAGACACAAAGACAAAACCCGACATTCGTGTAAAAAAAACACAGAAAAGTAGACATTCTCAAAAAAAGTGCAAACAGAAGACACAACTGAACAAACATTTTGGCCAAATGAGCAGATCCTTTTAAAAAAGTTTAAGGTTTACGCCAAACAACTCAAAAACTTCAAAGTTCCAAGCACAATTGTGTTCATCTTCCACTGAACAACAGAGGAACATGTATGAAGCCTCAGCGACCTTTTCCATTTTTTTTTTATTCCTCATCACAAATCCCTCTCAAGTGACAAACAAATCCTGGCCCAACAGAACCAGACAATAAGCCGGTGTCTGACACCATCATCAAACAGAAGGTCCAACAAAAGGAATCCTTGATGTGCAGGGGCGGAGGTGTCGGCTGCCCTTTTCATCTCTGAGACTTCAGGGATCTCTATTCAAGTCATTAAGAATGGCATGCCATGGAGCCAGGCATGCATGAGGGACAGTAGAGAAGACCTCTTGATGGAAGGGATGATTTCACTATCTCTTTGGCTTGGTCAATTGTGTAATTCTGTCTTTTGTAAGGTTCTCCAGACAGGCACAGGTCTGGTCTACCAACTAGAGGTCTGAGTTGACAGTCTAAAAATACTCTCCAAACGGCAGGGATATAGGGCTGCTCAAAGTCAGCGTGATGTAGGCAAAAATAGTTACTCCTGGTCTTGCTTGATAGGACGCTGGGATTACAGATGTTGATCCTCTGTTGGATTACTCGAGGGAATTCCACACCCAAACTTGAACTCCCGGTGGAGGGAAATGCCATCTGATTAGGTTCAGGCAAATTGCATGTGGGACAAATTTACCTCATCAAGTTTGTGCCCTTTTAAAATGTTCCCCATCTACATGTACATGTACTGTACCATAAAATTCAAACTTAAATTGGAAGTTAACCTAAGTAAAGGCATGGACTGCAAAGTGATGCAACTTGAGAACTTAATTTTATTTGAAGATATTAAACTTCCTTTAATAAAAAAAAAAATCATCCCATGAAAATTAAAAATTTCATATTACTTTTTTGGTGTCAAAAAGCATCTATTCACTCCACATAAATGTACTGTACACTTTTCACTTACGGTAATTAAAAAGTATTTCATTAATGCAGCATTTATATAAGTTATACCGCCAATGCCTATCCAGGAATAAAGAAGTGCCGGTATTTAGTAAAAATCTTTCCCAATTCCAAATGTTAACTGTCTTGTCTTGTTTTGAGGGTCTTTCTCTTCCCGTTGAGCAGATTTTGAAGTGACGAGATTAGCTCATTGAAAGTATTCGACCACAATACTTATGCTGCCATTGCCTTTGCAAAAATTGTATGTGATACTTTTTATCCCAAATAAGTGTCTTGACTTTTTTGTAGGGTCAGCGTCTTCCAATGAGAAGCCATTGTCTTGTACAGACTTGTTCACTGAAAATATTTGGCCACTGTGGTCCCGAAGTCAGATGGTTTGATGGGTACACACTTGTCATCTAAAAACAGTTGTTAAACTTTAATGATGATTAAACCCCGGGTATGCGGACACACTTGGGTATTTTAGCACCTCCTTGGACCATTCCAAATTTAAGAGCTCAAGTTCAGTTTTGTTGACCATCACGGAGGTCACTTCCTGAGTCAGTTAGCTTTAACGCTTTGTGAGCTCTGAAACCCAAAGATGGGGGTTGTGGTCAAGTGCCAGTATTCCCAACGGGAGAAAACAGAGAAGGAATGATAAGAACTGCTGGAAAAGTCTTTCATTAGCAGGTCAGTATACAACCCAAATGAAGCGATGAAGTCAAAGGAACGACACCGTGACTAGAATACAGCCTCCCATCAGCCGAACAGTGTCTGATTTGTCCTTCCGAGGCGGTGGTACCTGTGCAATTACCCCACTCTATTTGGGTCACTTTTACACCTGTAAAAAGCAAAATTCACAGGGGTCCCTTGGTGTAGGAAATCCAATCCATAAGATGTGGCACCTCATAGAGTTATGAAGGAATAAGAAAGGAGAAGGGCTGCCAAGGGATATGAACTTGAAGCGCCAGGAATATATCTGTCAGAGGTGACTTCCTGTCTCCTGAGCTTCTATCCAAACAAGACCACCCCATGGGCTGTCAGAATGCATGACAGAATCCAACTGGTAAAAGGTGGCTTCTTGATGTTTGTTAAAGGAGTTGTACAAGTACAGTCATTGGAAATTTTGCTCAGAACAGGAAACACTTTGCCATTTCTTGACTGTGATGTTGCCTTGCAATAAAAAGGGTCTTAATTTTATCCTTGAAAGTTACTCAGTCATAACTTTCCACAGATTTCTACAGATGTGAAACTAATAACAGGATTTTTAACGCCAGATATTCCTTCCCTTAATTATTACAGTTTATTTTTCTTAAAGATATTTCTATGTGTCAGGAAATAGGGAGATCATTTAGAAGGCAACATATACATGCATGAGAAATGTGCACTCTGTAAATATTTAAAGTGTTGTACTTGTTTTGCTGCGACAAGAGCCCTAAATTATGAAAGATTCGATTAAATTTGTTTTGATTATTTTTATCAGAGTTTCATTAAAAATTATTTTTAACAGAGGGCTGGCAAAAGTTACAAAAGGATTAAAAAATAAACCAAAAACGTAAGAACATTTTATAGAATACAATTAGAGTTGATGATGTCTAGGCCTTCTACAAATATACCAGTGTTCAGTCAACCTGGTGTCATGGCCTCAGCATTATGCAAACTTGGCCAGACGGGCAAATGATCATGGCCAGATAGCAGCCATGCCTGTGGGCTCGGGGAGTGGATTTACCACAAGAAACCCAGGAGGCACGAGAGAGCTGAGCAAGCCGGAGCTCAGATTTGCGTAATTACGACCAGGATGTCGCAGCTAAGCCACGGCGGATTACCAGCCCGCCGAAGCAGATGGAAAATTCTCCATGCGCAGATTATTTCTGTTATGCCCGCCCTTAAATGTCAGCAGTTATACGCATCAAGAATACGGTGATGGAGGGGGAGCTAATGGTGTGTGCGCAAATGTTCTGACGTCAAAGTTGGGAAAGGGTTAATGTGTGAATGTGTTCACTTTTAGACTTCCAGACAGGAAATGGACTGAGTTTGAGCAATAATGACACGGATATCAACGACCTTATGAATATTGTCTAAGTTAAACCGGTGTATGAATACAGTATTGCTTGTTTTATTTGACAACTTTCCCCTATTTTGGTTTTATAACAAACTTGTAGCCTTCAATGGAATATCATGTATGTAGTTTAAAAAGGCTTACCTTGCAAAGAAAGAGGCTGCAGCCGAGGTGCCAGCCATGCTCGTTCCAACAGGCAAAGGGGGTCCGGTGCCAGACCGCAGATTAGCTGGGTTAAACGGCGGTCTCATACCTGCAGCGGCTACGGCTAGCCTGTCAGCCTGTTGCTGCTGCAGGTGGTGTTGTTGCTGCTGTTGCTGCTGCAAGTGGTGCTGTTGCTGCTGTTGCTGCTGCAAATGGTGCTGTTGTTGTTGCTGCTGCTGCAAGTGGTGCTGTTGTTGTTGCTGCTGCTGCAAGTGATGCTGTTGCTGTTGCTGCTGCATCAGCTGCTGTTGCTGCTGCATCATCTGCTGTTGTTGTTGCTTGAGTTGCTGCTGTTGCTGCATCTGTTGATGGTGCTGCAGGTAGCTCAGGCTCTGAGGAAGATTTTGAGGTATGGACGGTCTCCCAACTGACATCTCCGATGCGGTGCCTTTGCTACTCGCCGATCCCCCATAACTTGCCTGTTAATGATAACCAAAATGAAACCACAAATTACTCTAAATGCCAATTCAAGTTAGTCTTTATCAAGCACAAAGTATACCCTGAACTAGAAACAGGGCATAATCACCACCATCTGCGACATTTCTGACGATTGCTGATCTTCTGCTGAGGGCCAAAACAACTGATAAAACTCCACCACAAAGGCAATTTAGGCTAAGCAAACAAATATTTTGATAAGATTTGCAAACAGGTCTGCTGTACAGCACGGAGGAGAGGTCAACATTATTGACCCTGAATTGGATTTTCATGGCTGCAAATATTAAAATATTAAACTGTGTACACCAAGTACTGAACACTGGTGTCCAAATAACAGCAACTATTTCAAGTTGATTTCTTTTTCAAATACTGTCTCAAACTACTTTTTTCATTCCCATCTGAAACTGGGACAAAAAGCAAATTTAACCATCAGCACTGTTTACCACAAATTTACAGTTTTACACAATCCAAGCTTGTTTGCTGTCCGCTCGTGATCCATTTTAGTTATGAGCTGCCTGGACAAGTATTTCATTACAACACCTTCTTGTGAAGTTGCACAACTGAAGCCAAGACTAGAACGGTCGACACGGATCACAACTCTGCAATCTGATGGGAACCGGCCAACAGAACCTGGTAACCGAACCCCAGCAAGTGCCAAATTGCCCGGTGCCGAGTAATGACTTTTTGGTAATGACGTAAAACAACGCAAGTATCGTTTACTATTAATATCCATGTATATTTTCTCATCAGTCGCGCCCTGTGTCAGGCTTGTGTCGCAAATGAAGTGTGAAAGTTTTTGATACAATTAACCTTTACGGAAGACCTACGGTTGCTTATTTTGTCTAACCTCCTTTTCAGTCGAGAATGTTTCACAGTAAAGGTGGGTGTATAAGAATGCAGTGAGTACAGAGATACTGGAGTCTGATATTTACATGTAGTTTAAAAATGAATGAGCTGTGCAATGCAGAGAAAAGTTGACAAGGATTTAAATAAATAGTAGCTGAGACTTTCAAATTCTCAACATTCTTCATCCCACTGAAGCTATTTACCATGTACATGTACATGTATACGGACTTACATCTTTTTTTTTCTCTTGAGCTGAATATAAGTTGAAATGTATTTAAATACATTGTACTGTACCGGTATGATCATCCTTTTTTCCAAAAGCCAACATTTTTTTCCAAGCCCTTTGAAGCCAGTGTATGTGCAGAAATTTTAATAAAAATATTTAAAAACTCCACTTGGGACTTTCACAATTTCTCATATGAAATCATTGGTGAATTCACCCCTGTCAGTATCGATACGTACTATGCACAATGACACGAATATAAAACAGAATTGGCAATCATTTTGAAGGCTTCGTTTCATTTCAATATGTCATGCTCTGACAAATCCTTGTTCAATTTTAATGGGTTTTGGATACAGTTGATTAGAGCGACGAGTTGAAAACTTCAGCGCAGCTGCAGAGGGTCAAAAGTTCTCTAAAGATTTTATGCCCCCTGTCTGACTTTCAAATGTCAGTGAACGGTGAAGAAGTCAAGTTTTTGTCTAAAGTTTAACAAAGAGGGACAAAGGAACCCCAGTAAAATTTGATTTTAGCATGCAGACACGGATGACTGAAGAAAAGTTTACCGACCAAAGTGAGGAGAGAAATATAGTCGTCAAGTTCTGCACGTACAATCATAGAGCTACAAACCCAGTAGCTCTCTGATACAATGTAAGATCCTGGAAACCGATTGGCCAAAGTGGTAAACCACTGGTGGCCAGTTATTGAGAGATCAGCAGTTAAAATGGTCACAGACATGTAATTGGAAATTTAGAGAGAAAAAAAACGAGGAAATGTCAAACCACACAAGACTTTGTACAGTGTTTTTTCAATTTGTAATGGCATTCATGAGAAGTAAATAAGTGCGAGTGCAAAATAAGCTTTGTGTTGCCAGAAGTTTTGAATGAAAGTCTTGCATGAAATCGATCAAAATGATCCCTGCCTGAGCTTAAAAATGCGACGCCAATGGCACATATGGAACACCGTACAGGTACTTTTGGCCAATTTTCAGGGACAGACAGACAGACAGACCATCCGACCGATCGACCACCAAGTGACATGTAGAAGCTCCTGCTCCTGCCAGAGCTTAAAAATGAGGAAATCAGTGGATCCGACGAAAAGTTGCAGGCCTGATGGTCAGGTTGGCCAGAGTGGCCTGGATGGACAAGTTGACCAAATCGCCAAGGAACCTGCTTGTCTCGATGGGTAGTTAGATGGATACCCTAAAATGATTGGGGCATGTCACCACAGGTACAAACTGGCCATCGCACAATGGCCACTGAATTTGCAGGCCACAATGGACGGGTGGATACAACGACTAGTCAAGTGGCCATACTATGGTTATACCAGTAGATGTGCCGGTACATGTTTTACACAGTGAACTGCAAAACTACCCTTTCTAAAAATTTGAGAAAATAGAATGAAAGAAATCCATGAAATGAACTACGTTTTTGAAATACAAGTCTGTAAACATGACTCATACAAAAAATAAAGGCTAAGCTGATGTAACAAATCCACGTGCACGGTAAGAGAAACGAAATGCGAATAATCTATGTCCTGTGGCATGAGACAGTTTATCTGAAAATCAAACTGTGGAGGAGAAAAAGAAGACCCAGATTTCAGATTTCTATTAGATTTCCAAGTCTCCGGGGTTGTGATCAGTCAGAAGGATCTATCACATTGCCAACAGCTATTTAGGATCACCCTATTCATCAGACCTCTATCTTTCAGGTTGAGCCTAACAGAAACAATAGGGGATGGGAGATGGGATTCACTCCCACGGGCAATGATCAATTTGGTTCCATTGGGTGTCCACCCCCCTCCCCCCCCCCCCCAAAAAAAGGAGCATCTCTTTTCAATAATTGTGGTTATCCCAGATGCCTGGTTTTCATCCAAGTTAAGCTGGTAAACAGAGGTTCTGCTCATTGTCAAATACCGGGACATGTCCTTATTCTATGCAAGATCCCTTCAGGCATTGGCATAGTTAAGTTTAGAATTTTTAGGAAATGGAATTCTTTTGTTAAAAACAGATGTACATTTTGTAAAATTGCATAAAATAAAACCACAGGCCAAAAAGAGAAACCACAATCTTTTGGAAAAGGTAGCCTACTGGGAAATCCTTACATCCACATACAAAAGAATGATTGATTAGGCTTTTGGAGTATGACATGGGCCTTCCTTACATTACTATTATACTTGAGGTAATTCTGTAAGACCTAACAAGAGAGCTTTCAAACTGGTTTCCTGAACTCCTTACCAAATTCAACAATGTGCGTCACGACCAAAAACCAAAAACAGAAATAGTAGGGCCTACACGTAAGTGCCACTTTTTGTTTCTTTTGTTACTTTCAGTTTCCAGATAAAATTGTTCAAACAGCTTGTAAATAGGCAATGGGACTTTGACATTTAAATACATGTAATCAAATAAAAAAAAATAGTACTGTTAAAAAGTTTAGTTACCTTTCTCACCTTTCTAAGGCACTGTGAGTGGTATACAATGCATAGTGTAACAATTGTATCAACCCATTCCAAGGGCTGATCCAGAACCAAATTTTTTTTGGGGGGGGGGGAGGGGGCAAGAGGGCTCGAGTACTTCTTTTTTTTTCAAAAAGGGGAAGGGGATTAAGTATATAAGTCATGCGCTATTTCCACATCGTGATATTAAAACTAAAAGGTACAATGATGGCTTGCCAGGGAGATACAATGTACATGCAACATATTAATTCATTCCCTGAAAGGACATTTTATAAAAAATCAATAAAGAAGATTCATTTCTTCTCAGAGGAAAACTGAATCGCTACCAAGATGAGCAAGTTTTGAAAATAATTCCTTACCGAAAGGTTCTGGGATTCAGTGCAATCAGCTTCAAGAGGAATGAAATCCTCTGTCTGGTTTGACAAAACACAGAGAGACCTCCCAGTCCCACTATGTTCTCCAGATACTACACCAGATTCCTCAGAGTCTGAGGATCCATGGGCACAGGACAGGACTAATCGCTCCATAGTAACAACTTCCTCTGCTGAAGTATCCAACTGACAGTAAGTAAACTCAAAAGTGCTCTCTCGTCAAATACACATGTATCCCAAATGAGTGCAAAATCTTCAGTTGTCCTCCGACTTTGGTACATGCCACACAGGACCACTGACGTTCTCTCATTAATCTTTACAACTCAAAAGGCGCACTGCGCTAGACGGGACTCCACGCTTTGCTGACAGTGCGTGACGCCTATTGTCCCTTCGCTGATTGCGTCGGAATGAACTTGGCCATAAAAAGCAGACTTCAGCCGTCGTAAAGTTGTGAGTGGCGCACATCACAAAGGATCACTTAAAAAATTGCTGACTCCAAATGTGACCCGGTAGAGAGGGGAAAAAGAAGGGAAAAAACAGCATACTTGCAGACAGTCACAGTCTGTCCATGCTTCAAACAAATGACTCCTCACTTGCAAATCATTTCCAAAAATCTGGAAAAGTTCCAAATTACAATTCTCAAGGTACGTCACTTTTAACTTTAGTCCAATTTGCTATGGCCTGATAAATGAATCATCCACTTCTTTTTTACTTTTTTTTTCCAGTGAAAAACTTGTTGATGAAGAACCTTTTACCAGAATGTGTAACAATTCAATAAACTTTGGTTGTACAGCTACAAACTACATGTATCTCAGAGCCTGACCCGTTTAAATTTGCCTTTGTATTACAAATATATCCATTTCCATTTTCAAATGGTTGCCAATTTCGAAAACGTTTTGAATCATGCTCAGTGACTCCATTTGGTCTGGTGTCACACTATTCATCTATTGTTTTCTTTTGAAGATGCGGTCTGGAATCTTCTCTGGTAGGTTTAGGCAGGATGTGAGAAATTCCACATTGCCTGTATAAGAGGTGAAGTCACTCAGTGTTGTGTTTGCGGTTGAGTTTGGTGACAATGCCCACATTATATTGA